CGACCGGCGGTGTGTTTTGTCAGGAAGAACCGCGTATGTCTTTGTTTGCGCATGGCCGTAGGAGGTGGTCTGTATGTGATCTGGATGTGATACGAGATTGTTGTTATTGCAGACGTAGATTGGGAACTTTTTGTACATACGTTTGTGATGGTTTTGGCCTTTCTGAGTGCTTCGGTGGCACTTGGTGCAGTACATGTCATCTCGAGACCACCAGTGAGTTTACTACGACACAAGATATCACCCAGGGCATCTGGAATATATAAATAGCACTCGCGGCGAGCCGGTTTCGCGAGCCGGAGCTGATAAATTAAGAAGACAGTACCAAAAATTCAAATTAATTGGCGCATTGTTCCGTACAGCGGATGGAGTGGACAAACTCCGACCACCAGCTCATTCTGGTGTACCAGGGCGGCAGCCCACAGAACAAGACCTACTCGAATATCACCATAGTGCGCAAGGGAGACAAGCGAAACTCTATGGCCTTTGAGAAGAAAGTCGTCGGATTCTGCTTGTGCAAAGGTGTGTTGCTACATACTCTAAATGTGTGTTGCTATGCATATTGCACTGCCGGATATCGATACACGCTCGGGCACGGCTTAGCACAACACTCAACATCAATCGCTCAAGACCTCCACTACAGTCTATCTGCTCTCCCCTTCACCCTCACACACACACACACACACACACACACACACACACACACACATACACACTCACACTCGCACTCACACTCACACTCACACTCAAACGTACACACACACAAACGTACACACACAAACGTACACACACACAAACGTACACACACACAAACGTACACACACACAAACGCGCACACACACAAACGCGCACACACACAAACGTACACACTCACCCAATCAATGACGTTTTGACCTCACAGATTCTCCCTTCTATTATACTCTATCTGCCCCCATCTCCCTCCCCTCACCCTCTCTCTCTCTCACACACACACACACACGCAAACGCACACACACGCAAACGCACACACACACAAGTGTACACATACACTCACCCAATCAATGTCGTACTGACCTCACAGATTCTCCCTGGGCCCAAGACGCGGCTGCAGTACCGTGTCTGCTGCTGTGCTTCCCCAACGAACTGGTTGCGCTGGAGCTACAGTCGCCCATTCAGGTGCTGCAGGCACCCTACTGCACGCAATTGGCTCGGTCTGTTGTAACAACCTACCAGGTATGCGGCCGAGCTCATGTATATCATACGTTCGTACGTTGTAGCTGCGCGGTGCTGTGTGTGTGAGAGCACTTGGTGGGTGTCTGGGCACGTGTATTGAGCTGACATGGGAGTTGCCATTATAACATATTTGCGGAGTATAGACAAGGTGTACTGTGCACTGGACGACGCATGCACCCAATAGTGTCCTTTTAGGACCACTCGTGCCCCCATAAGTGTGCTCTAGGACCACTCGTGCACCCAAAAGTGCTCTAACATCGCATCTAAGGGGAGTCGCCAAATAGCAACTAGATCTACACATACACGACGCCGTGTATTTGAGGCACAAATTGCACCTAGACATTCAATCTCTGCGCCTCAAAATCGTACTCGGGTCTGCGTGTGTCACCCACGCGTAATATTAACCATAAAGATATACTGACGCCCGCCTATGTATCCATATATGGTGAAAAAAGTCTCTGTGTGGGTGTTTGTGTGCTTTTGTTAGCAGCAATTGGTCGGGACGATGATGTGGGCACGGGCAATGGTAATGACAGAGTCTTCATCCAATGTTTTTGATTTTTTTTTGCAATTTGTTGAGAGAGGGTTATGGACAGTTATCGTTGTGATTGTATGTACACCCCATTGATTGTCAATCCAGATAAGCGTGCATTTCCATTTCCTGCCGATGAAGACTTTGTTCCGTTATGCCATCGCGACGCGATGTATCCTTTATTATTATCAAAAGCAAAGATCTGACAATGCTCTATCTGCGTTGGGTTGTGCGTAGGTCTGCTGGGATATCGATAAAACTTTGATGAACACACTGCGACTCCTAGGCAAGAAACAGGTATGCAGTCTGGTTTGGTATCAGTGGCATTTTGGATTGCACCAGCGATCACAGACACGCACGCATCTGTGATTAAGGTCTCTGTCGTATCAGATGAACCAATCTAAAGCCCTATCCACGTATTGCATATATCGGGCTATAGAGCACGAGTACTAGGATCTCTTTCGAAACGTGCTCAATGACATGCTATCTAGTACATTCCGTTGAAGCATCGCCTCACAGAGACGTGGGCGCTGTCGGATCGTAGCACCGCCAGTGCATGCTGGTCTCCTCTAAACATGATACTATTCGCGTGCACGAAGCAATATGCACGTATACTCATCCACCGCACCGTTGACCGTTGACCTGATGGTCGCTCATTCTCGCAGTGCATTGACACCATCAGCAAGTCATGGCCCATACGAGGCGGCCAGAGAGCCCCCAAACCCAGTCACGCATCGCTGGACATAGCCGTTGTGGGTCACAACAACGGCATTGTGAAGATCTACGACATCAGCTCTGCGCTCTCCGTCACTTTGGTGTGTGTGGTGTCGGTGGTAGTGCTGTGTGGACACGCCAACCTGCCCCCACCTGCGGACTGTGGCATCAAGAGTGTGGAACTACAGCCCAAGAATAGACACATGGTATGTTTGAGAGGGCTCGGTTACATATGTTTGTGACTGTGGCGCCTCGGTTACAGCGGTGGCCTGTATACGGCCGGGTGTACATTCACGTAAACATGACTGACGCGAGTGTATGACCCACACCTGGTAGTGCTTGTGTGTATTATAGCGTGTGCACGCACTCCCATCCTCACGCCCATGATATGGTGGGCTGCTGTGGTGCGGAGACGCGGTTGATATTTCGTACAAGGTTCTTTGAATTGACTTGGTGCCATCTCGACTACAACGAGTGTACCACCCACACAGAACTGTCTTTATATATCCGGTAGAGCATGATGCAGGCCTATAGTTAAACTCACACCCCCATCCTCGCCGTCCAGTTGGATTCGGATATTAGCGCAGTAGGGTCGGTGTTGTCATTCACCCTCAACTTGCATTGGTGCGACTACATGCATGCAGTCGCTAGTAGCACGAGTGGTTTGCCCATACGTAGCCGTCTTGCTACATCCGGTAGAGCACGCATGTACGTTGTTTGCCACTCCCACACTCCCACACTCCACATTTCACACCCACACACAGGTGCTGGTCTGCAACAGCGGTGAGGTGCTGCTGCTTTCGTTCGCTCTCTCGGCCGCTACAGTCAGCGTCAAGGTTGCGTCGGCTGTGCTGGATGAGCCCTGTGAGACTACGATAGAGAAGGTCATAGCGCTGTCGAAACCTGCCGCGAAATTGGAGGTGCCTGGGTCACCCAGTGCGTCCAAGAAAAGCGAAGGGTCGGTATTAGATGCGGACACGGAGGGTATGTGGGTTAACGGTTTGGTGGCAATATCTTTCTCTTAAGTTATATCAGCGCTGCCGAATATATATTTGGGGGGGAAGACTATTGTATTCGGGTCAGTGTACCCTATGTGTATTTACTTCTCGTGTGAGTTGTGGGGGACCATAATTACTGATATTTACAGGTTGTGTGTCATCTTATTGGCTTTAGCCCGCCTGTTATTTATTTATGGGGTGCACTGCCTTTGTCGAAACTGAGCCGTTTGGTCATACATGTCAATGGAGAATGCTACATTGCTACCTATGCGGATACTACTCTCGATATTTACCTATCTGTGAAAGCTAGTTTGTGTTGAGATATAAGCGTCTGCTTTTGACTTGGCTGTGTAAGTCTTAGTGTGTGTGTGTGGTAGTCTACGTCTCCCGTGGTACGCATGGTGTAGAAACGAGTGTCATCTAACGATATGCTATACATCACACACTACAGTATAGTACTTCGTGGTGTGGTACAGACATGCAAGAACTAGCGGATAAAGTACCACCGATTGGGAATGATAAGACCTGAATGTGAACCACGACTATTGCGGGTTGTTCGCAAATCTGAAGGCCTATGCTTCCGGGGGAATCGACCATAGTGAATAACCGGACTAAAATTTTTATGCACGTGTTTTGTGATCGGGTTTTGTGTGTGCCGAGTATACCTAATGGGTTAGTAGTAGCTCATTAGTACAGTAACTTTGAGTGTCTGAGTTGTTGAGTGCCTGAATGTTGTACATCGCATTATACTCACGTATCCGTTGCCTATCTCTCATCCCCATCCAGTTGAGGCCCCTGCACCTGCACCAGTAGAAGTGGACCTGGAGGCGCCGGTGGTGGACTTTAAGAACAGGTTCAAGAAAGTGAGCCAGGTAACCGCACCACCACCCGAAGTAGAAATCTCCGGTACAGATTCGGACGAGTCGATGTCAGACAGCGAGAGAGCCGACACGGGTGACAGGTAGGTGGGAGGATTCGGTTATATATGCAGACTTATCTTCTCTTCAGCATGGTGTAACATACCTACGTATCTACATTCGAGTTCGTTGTAATGCGAGGCGAGCGCTATTGCGATATCATATTATGAGGCTCGTGGGGTGAGGTAGTACACGCGTACAGCAGTAAGCACGATTGATGGTAAGGGTGTATCTGAACACGGGCTCGCCCCAAATACAGAATATAGACATGTCATGACTTCAAATCAACTGATATTAAATAAAACTATTTTAGCACCAGCTACAGCCGTTTCATACACAAGAGCATAGTTCATTGGACAGATACGCACTCCATGCTCATCCGCATATTCGCCTCCATCTTTGTACCGAACATTTTAACCGACCAACATTCACGTGACTACAACCCACAGCACTCAGCCCGAGACGGACACGCCAACGGACGCAGCTCCCGAGGCTTCAGCCGCCACAGTCAAGGCCACACCTTCCGCTGCAACCGACACGCGGTCATACGAAGTGGAGGCCTACATGCCCCCAGGATTCCAGGTGCGCTTTTTGTGGGTATAGTTTGTGACAAGGTTCTTATACATACAGGCTATATGTGATACGTGTGTGTTGTGTGGGGGAGGGGGGGTGTGTGGCTCGGCTGTGTTGGTATGGTTGTTAGGCTGTGTTGGTATGGTTGTTAGGCTGTGTTAGGCGTAAATGTGGTCTATACGATTGAGCCGAGAGTGGCGATTTTCAGTTATCTCAGATACAGAGTGGTATGGGTGGCCACGGTGCCACAGCTCAGCTGGTTTCGCTGGTTTCAGAGAGATCTAAAACGTAAACGGTTGAAGGTGTTGGCTTTAATGTGTTTGCCTTTAATCAGTGCTCAAGCGCTTCTCCGACGATCACGGACGATGTAGTGTCATGACGCGACATGTTACCTATCCGCATTCATAACCAATCCGTTCAACCACCTCGTTTGTCACTTGTGTAGAAGTACGTCACTCCATCAGCTAAAGATTCGTACTGTTGCAGCTACGTTGCGTTGTACGCGGTAGAGTTGCATGCCAGCCTAGAGGATCTTTCAGTGCCCGTTCTCTTCCTAAGTACCTACGTACCTATACACCTACATACCTACATACCTACATACCTACATACCTGGCCAGAAGCTTCAGTAGAATCGCGGTCACCCGCAGTACCAACCACTACCAAATACGTCCACATGTACCGCTTTCGCCCGTATATCGCCTAACAGACTATATGCCTCTGCACCCACCCAGCTGGCTCTGTACTTCAAGGGTATCCTGAACTCGCCCGAGGACGCCACACCCCTTACAGACGGGATCATCGCCACCCACAGCTCAGCGTACGCCGCACTGGCTGTGGCCAATGGCCTGGGGGCTGTGTGTGTGGTAGACACGGCCGAGGGAGAGGTGTTGATGTGTGAGCATCTCCTGCAGTCGGCTCAGTTATTGGGAGAGGCACACCCGCAGGTGAGTGAGTGAGAGGTTGTGAATGGGGTACAGTGCCAGGAACATGTGTTGGGGGTGCGGGTGGCGGGTGGCTGTCGCGTGGGTGGTGATCGTACACGGGTACAATGGCCTTTGGCGGTGGGTTGCAGTACACTTTGGAACAGGGCGTGTGTGATGTGCTCAAAGGACTGCCACAGGTTTGTGTGTGAGACGTGCACACCCGGTCCACGCACATGCATAGCACCTTTGCAGGTATTCGCGATAACTGGCGCAACCCCATATGCACCGCTCGACAGGTACGTGCTTACACCACGAACCAGCACATATGCATCACAATTCAACATGGACACACCACCATTCTGCATGTCCATATGAGTTCGTAACGCATGCATGCTAATCCTGATACTCAAGTGGTCGAATCAAGTCACACATGCACACAACACGCCTGCCACACTCATCTCATAGTCAGAGAAGCATTTACATAACTATTACGCACACGTACAGCTTCTCATCGCATATGCACACCACGCCTATCGCACTCATCTCACAGTAAGAGAAGCTTATACATCACTATTACGCACACGTACAGCAACTCATAGCATATGCAAACCACGCCTATCGCACTTATCTCACAGTCAGAGAAACATATACATCACTATCCGC